CACCCTCTCCCCCACCATATCTCCACCCTCTCCCCCACCATATCTCCCCTCCTCCTTTTGCTCCCATTCCTGTGCCCCTCCCACACCCATTAACATTCTCCCCTCCCATATCTTACCTCTCCTCCACCTACTCTCCACTTCATCCACCACTCAGCCCAATATCTCCCCTTCCATTTTTCCCCATATGCCCCCTCTCCACCCTCACCGTCTCCAGGTCCGAGCTGAGAATCTCTTTCTCCTCCGCATAGTCGGTCACCCTCTCGAGGTCTGCCGCTCCGCTGTCGTGTTTGCGGGGTTTCTCTGCAGGCCGCTCGCTCTCCTCATTCTCCAAGTCCAGGTCTCCGTCAGCCTCCGCCATCAGTGCCGCCAGTCCACGCTGCCGGAAAATACACCAGCGCGCAGCACCGGAAATGACGCCAGCACGCAGGACCGGTTCCTGCTGCTTCCGGGTGCGCCCAGTTGTAGTTCTTTTCTGCAACTTCGGGAAGATTAGCTTTGCATTCAAACACAGTGTGCCCTAGTAGAACCATCTCCACCTTTGAGTCGGTTTCAAGTCCCACTTGTTCCAGAGGTTTGTAATAACATCACTGAAACTTTGATTAGAAAAATAGATAACATAGTGTGCAGCTGGAGGAGCACAGCAGCCCAGGCAGCAGAGGAGCAGGAAAGTTGACATAGAATCATAGAATCCCTACAGTGTGGAAACAGGCCCTTCGGCCCAACCAGTCCACACCGAACCTCAAAGCATCCCACCCCGACCCACCCCGCTATAACCCACCTAATCTACACATCCCTGAACACTACGGGCAATTTAGCATAGCCAATCCACCTAGCATGCACATCTTTGGACTTGAGAAGGAGAAGCCTTCATGGTGACCTCTGCCAGAATTGAAATTGAATCCACACTGTTGGTGTCATTTCTGCTTAGTAAACCAGTTGTCCAGCCAGTTGAGCCAACTGACCCCCTTATAGCTTTAACTACGTCAAAACTTCCTGTGATCACGGGTGAAGAGACAGAACAGTTACAGGTATGTTCCATCCTGTGTTTAGCCACTGGCAGCTGCAAAGTCCATCACCGGAGGTCAAACTAAAACCATGAGCAAAATGTTATTATTTAAAGAGATAATTGAAAGGAAGTATTTGGCATGCCGTCATTAACTGGAGGAAGCACTGAGGCCAGCAAGCACATTGAAGCCTCTTATTCAAAGCACTATGTACTACTACTGACCTAGCTGGTCAAGTCCTAATGGGCATTGCTGGGTCTGCAGGTGAAGAAACCAACATGACCTAATCCTCATCAATTTACCTACCATTGATTCATCTACAGTATCAACAGAAGTGACCACTACAGACCTTGTAGTGATAAAGGTCCATATTCACTCTTCAGTGCATTGTGCACGCAACATGGATTATTTTAAACATACCAACTTCAGACTGGGAATTCATGAAGTGCTGTGGGTCATCAGTAGCTGAATTGTAATTCATGTCGAGACCCTTCCTCAGAAATAGGGAAGAGGGAAGGGAGCTGGAAAATAAATAGAGAGCAGGGGTGGGGCTGGGGAAGTTAGGTGGGATGGTGATAGGTGAGTGCAAGTAGGCAGTGGTGGGGATTGGTCAGTGAGGTAGGAGGAGCAGATAGGTGGGTGAGAAGATGGACATGTTGTGTCAGGTGGGGATGAGAGGGAGGGTTGGTCATGTGATGAGGCCAGGGGTGAGGAGATTTTGACACTGGTAAAGTCCACAGTGAGACCATCGGGCTGCAGGCTCCTAAGGCGGAATATGAGGTGCTGCTCCTCCAGTTTGCGGGTGACACTGGAGGAGGTCCAGGATGGATATGTCATGGGTGAGGGGGAGGTAAAATGTTTCGCAACCGGAAGGTGTTGTTGTTTGTCAAGTACAGACTGCAGATGCTCTACAAAGCGGTCTCCGAGTCTTCTAAATAAAAACTGAAAGAACTGCAGATGCTGTAAATCAGGAACAAAAACAAAGTTGCTGGAAAAGTTCAGCAGGTCAGAATACCCAGTTCTGAGGGTCACCGGAGCCAAAACGTTAACTCTGTTTTTTCCTTCACAGATGCTGCCAGACCTCCTGAGCTTTTCCAGCAATTTTATTTTTGTCTCACAGTGTTCGCTTGGGCTCACCAATGTTGATTAGAAAATAGTTTTTTTTGAGGGACACAAGATTATGAGTGATATTATCAAGATCCAGTTGTCTGGATTTAAGTTGTGGGAATAGGACAAGATGACAGCAGTTAAGACCGAAATCAGTGACCAGTGCCTGGAATAAACTCAATGATTAATTGAAGACAATCTGTAATGATATTGCTGAAGAAATTGGATCATATATTGAGAAACGGAGGGGTGTTTTTTTTCCCCAGAATGAACTAAATAGCTCAACTGGATAACAGCACCAGGCAGATAAAAGCAAACAATTTGGACGAGTGACAAAATGAACATTATAAGCCGCAACTGGTTTCATGGCTCTATTGTAAAAGGTTCCTTCCTTTCAGACCCTCTTGTGAGCAACACTGGCTGTGAGGTCCTAACTCTGACAGTGTGTCTATACTCTTATGGCTGCAGAAGATGGTGTGCATTTCAAATCAACCAGGAGCAGGCAGCATCAGCAATATCAAGCCGTGGTAATAATCATGGAATTATATAGCCCTTCTGTCAGTCGTGTCTATAGCAATTGTCCGTACTGTAACAGCGCCAAGTATTTACAACACAGACAGACCATTCAGCCACTGGCAGTTACATTCATAATCGTAGAATCCCTACACCATGAAAAGAGGCTGTTCAGCTGATCAACCCTTCAAACAGCATCCTGCCCAAATCCAGCCCCCCACCCCATCCTCATATTTACCTTTGCTAACTCACACAGCCTGCACATCTTTGGATGGAGATGGGAAACCAGAGCACCCAGTGGAAACCCACATGGACACTGTAGTACTGTTTTGAGGCAGCAGTGCTAAGGAGTGAGCTACTGTGCTACCCTGAAGCATACTAGTCTCCTCTCACCACATCTGCATATCCTTTTATTCCTTTCACTCAAGTTCATCAGATCAAATTCCATTTTTACAGTGACAATGCAGTGGGAGCCATTCAAAAGTGGGAATCAATAGGCACTCTGCAGATATGTCCCCACAAAAGAAAAAGGATGGCACTGGCAAATCTAAAGCCTCTCGCCATCCAGATGCAGAGTACAACAGAGCAGAAAAAGAATGCTTATGACAGTCACAAAAAACCTGATACTGTTAAAAGCCTAGAGGAGAATAAAAAGTACAGGAGCAAGTGTTTAAAGAAAAAGCAATGAACAAAAAGAGGATAAATGCTCACAGATAAAAATCAATGAAAACCCAAAAATGTTTTCCTCAATACAACAGATATACTGGGTAACACATCGGTGATGCAGAAAATGTGGTCAGGGTTCTTAATAAGTATTTTGTTTCTGTCTTCACAAAGAGGGATGATGGCAACATTCTAGTTAAAGCGTGAAGTATTAAGACACATTAAGCATAAGCAAGAGGAAGAACTGGAAGGACTAACGTCCTTGATGGTGGATAAATTCCCAGCATCAGATTGATTGTAACCCAAACAGTTAAAGAAAGCAAGGGAGGGGAAAATAAATACTGATGTTAATTTTCCAATCCGCACTAGATACAGATGAGGTCATGGGGAAGGACTGGAGGTCTGTGATTGGCTGAACAATTATAGGCTGGTCAGTCTGACTTCAGTGGTGAGCCAAATTATTATAGAGTCATAGCGGTGTACAGCACGGAAACAGACCCTTCGGTCCAACTCATCTATGCTGACCAGGTATCCCAGATAAATTCTGAGGACAGGATAAACGGTCACTTAGAAATCGACAGAATAATCAGTCAACATGGTTTCATTAAGAGTAGGTCTTATTAATTACTGAAATTTATTTAAGGTAGAAATAAGGCAATTTGTGAGATGAGTCCAGAACCAAAAGGACATAATGCAGAGAAAGGGATTGCCCATTTAAGACAGAAAAGAAGTTTCTTCTGAGAGTAGTGAATCTGTGGAATTCTTTACTGCTGTGGTGGTGTAGAAGCTGGGTCGTTAAGAATGTTCAAGGCTGAGATGATGGGTTGTTAATCAGTAAGGGAATCAAGGGTAATGGGAAAAAGGAACAAAAGTGGAGTTGAGGATTATCAGATCAATCACAACCTCACTGAGTTGTTGAGCAAAATTGATGGGGCAAATGGCTTACTTCTGCCCCCACGTCTTATAGCACGACGCTGGTTCTCTTGCTATTTGGTCTGTAAGGATCATGGTTGACAGAGCTGTGGTGATTTCAGCCCTCCTATATGGCTCTGAGATGCGGACTGTCTACAGCAGACGCCTCAAGGCACTGGAACAGTACCACCAACGTTGCATGTACAAGATCCTGCTAATCCGCTGGGAATAAAGACGCACCCACACCAGTGTCCTAGACAAGGCCGACATCCCCAGCATCAAGGCACTGACCAGCCTTTTTCAGCTGCGATGAACTGGGCACATCATCCGTATGACTGACATGAGACTCCCCCAAGCAGGCGCTCTACTCCCAGCTTCGATAGGGCAGGTGAACCCCAGGCCGAGAAGCGCTTCAGTAATACCCTCAGGCCTTATTGGTGAAGTGTGGCATTCCCACACCCGGGAATCACTGGCCCAAGACTGTTCAAACTGGAGGAGCAGCATCTGGGAAAGTGTTGAGCACCTTGAGACTTGCCGTTGGGAGAAAGTGAAAGCCAGGCGAAAGGAGCACGCTGCCACACCAACACACCACCCACCCCTTCCTGTGACCACCACTTGAACCAAGTGTAATAGAGCCTGCGGTAGCCACATCAGTCTGTACAGCCACCTACGGACTCACCCTGGGAGTGGAAGAGAGTCATCCTCATCTGCAAGGGACTGCCCATGACATTTAAATTCAAATCATTGTCAACATGATAGGCATGACTTGGAAATTTGTGGATGATGTAAGGGTTAGCCATGTTGTTGAAAGTGAAAAGGATAACTGTCAAACTGCAGGAAGTTATCAATGGTTTGATCGAGTGGATGTAAAAGTGGCAAATGGAATTCAATTTGAAGGAGTGAAAGATTATGCTTCCAGGGAAGGCAAACAAAACAAAACAATACACAATAAATGAGAGATGTGGAAAGTGGTAAAGGGATCAAGATATCTTGGATTGTATGTCCACAGGTTCCTGAAGGTAGCAGGATAAAGATAAGGTGGTAAAGAAAGCATACAGAATGCCTTCTTTTATGTATAGAATACATAAGCTGGCATATAACACTGGAACTGTATAAAACGATGGTCCGCCACTGCTGAAATTTTATACACAATTCTAGACACTGCATTACAGAAAGGGCAACATGGTGGCTCAGTGGTTAGCACTGCTGTCTCATAGTGCCAGGGACAAAGGTTCATTTTCAGCCTTGGGTGACTGTCTGTATGGAGTTTGTATGTGCTTCCTGTGTCTGCAACGGGTTTCCTCCAGGTGTGTTCAGTTTCCTCCCACAGTGCAAAGATGCACCACTTAGATGGATGGGCTATGCTAAACTACCGAGTGTCCAGGGATGAGCAGGCTAGCCATGGGAAACATGGGGTAACGTGGGGTAACTGGGAAATGGTGAGCGTGTGGTCTGGGTGGAATGCTCTTTGGAGGGTCAGTGTAGATTCAGTGGGCCAAATGGCCTCTTTCTTCACTATATGGATTCAATGATTCTGTTCCAAAGTTAGTCTTTCTCACACAAGAGACTACAGAGACGATTCACAGGAATGCTGCAGGGCTTGAAAATTGCAGGTGTAAAGGAAGATTGGATAGGCTGGCATTGTTTGCCTTTAAGCAGAGGAGGTGGAAGGGTGACTTACTTAAGATGTACAAACTAATTAGGGGTTTGGAAGACTGCTTCCCTTATCAGACAGGCCAGTTACCAGGGAGCACAAACTTAAAGTGATTACAGTGATCATGAGAAAGTACATTTTCCAACCAGAGAATGGTGGGTGTCTGGAATTCACTGTTCATTTTAGTGGTAAGGCAAAAACTCTCATTTCATTCAAAAAAAAACTTGGATCTGCACCTGACACAATGGTCTGAGTGGCATCTTTCTGTGCCATTAGTTTTCTGTGGTTCTGAAAGTTGCTTTGGAACGCGTTACAACCAACTCATCAGGCAGCACATTTAAGGTTTTCATAAAGCATTCATTAATGTTCTTGATACTTTTGCATTGTAATTTCTACTTATCTTGGGATGCAATTGAATTGTAAATCAGTATCTTGGGTTTGATTTGTCAATGTGAAGGCTCACACCGTAATGTTCCCTGCACAGCGAGGTCACAATCCTTCAGGAGCAGCCCATGCCATAAGAATGAAACAAGAAAATTATAAATAAATTCACGAACTCAGTTTTTATCATATTTGACAATACAACAGGAAAGGAAAACAATACATGATTACAGAGTTGTAAACTCTTCAGAAAGTATATTTGTTTTTCTTTAAAAAAAAAAGATTTAAATTACTTGTGAACAGTATTCTTGGCAAGGTAAACAATACGTCAAAGGGTGGGGTTTAGAACCTGAAACCAGCGCTGGTATGATTCACTGTGAGAGAGCTGTGATGCTTGGTGTAAAGCACAAAGTGCATGTGGCTACAATGTCCCTGCCTCCCCAGGATTACGTGGTCTTCCTTTTCTTGGCTGATGGCCTCTCAAAGACGTCGCGCACACCAGCTGCCCGCTGTTTGAAGAACTTGCTATTCTGAGCAGATTCCTGGGCCCATGCCGAGTCAAACGAGGTGGTGTCTTGGTCAACCAGGTGAGTGTATTTGGTCCGTCCCGAACGACCAAAGTTTTTGACCTGGTGAAGGAAGTGTAAAAACTCAAATGCAGTTTAAATAGCAATGAAGCAAATTTCACAACGCAGTCCTGGAAAAGTGCAGTCTATCAGCCATAAGATCACACAGAGGCCAGTAAGCTGGCCCTTTGAAAAAGGCCCTACATGATTAGTTGTACCTCCCCACTGGCATTTGCTCTATATCCTGCAGAATTTTTCCCTTTTACAGATTTGTTAAATCTCATTTTGGAAGCTAGTATTCAATCCTCACTGTCCATTAAAGCAGTATACACCACATCATTAAAACTGACAAATTTCAATTTGAAAACTTTTCAGTTACTCCCTTGGTAACTGAAAGTTCTAAAATCCAAATTAAAGGCTTGAAACAAGATAACAACTAAACAAATAGAAAAGGTGGATTGAAGTTTTTGTTGTCCTTCCTCAGTTCTGATTCCAGCATTCTCCACTTTGTCTTTTCGTATGACTTTCTCACATGTGGACATATGGCCAAGTTAATCATTCTTTACAGAGTTACCAACTAGCACGAGTCATACAGGAAGCAACTGCAATTTCTCATTTCCCATCTTTCACAACTGATGGTTATGGTGCCAGGAAAACGCACAACAGAGACATTTGAAAAAGAGCCGTTTTAAAGTTTCTGGTGGGATCTTCCGTTATATAGTACAGTATTCTGACAAAGACTTCACAAGAAATACAAAAACAGATTCTCTCTTTTGGATACTGACCAATATGCTGTGCATTTTTCCAGATGAAGCGTAGGTCAGTGAGGAAGTGAGTAAGATAGCCAGTGGAGCTTTACTCTTCATGTACTGTATGATCTCAAAGTCCAACGGGTCTCAGCATCTTCCTTGAGTCACCTGACTGCAGGGATACTGTCCTTCTAGCTGACCCCTTTATAGCCCTCTCTCTCGTACCCAGGGCTGCTATTCTTTATGAAGGTCCCGCCTATAATAAACATGCAGTCTTCTAACCTGCTCAGAAGCAGCTCCTTATCAAACGGGAGTAGTGCATGAGGCACACACATGTTGGCACCAGCAGCAGCTATACAACATCAAGTAATCGAGATGCACAGTACTGTACCTGCATGACTTTGGGCAAGATGGTCTTATTGAAATGATCCTCCAGTGTCGGGGAACTAAAGTCCCGTTTGTAAAGATCCTCCTCTTCATCCTGTTAGACATTAAAAAAGAACATCAATTCATTTGACATTCTAATGGGAATTTTACACCAAATAAGTGATGTATATTCTCAATATAGACCAGATGTGGCTACAATAAAACAAAACACAAAAATTTCTTCTGTGGTCCAGTTTATCCAAAATAATCAGTGCTGGCTTGAAGACGTAACAACAGTGAGTGCCATGACTGCCTCCTAAACATGCTGTCTCTCACGAGGGCCTGGTGCCACATGCAGCAGCAACCTCTTTCGGACTTGACTGAATGGCTATTAATCTTGGCCGAGAGCAATCAGAATATTTGCAAACTGAAGTGTTGGAGCCCAATCCTGTTGTAAACGTTTCCCAGTGTAATTCACTGGATAATGACTAGGAGTATGAGCACAGGCTAAAGTACCGGTGACTAGAAACACAAGGGAATCCTGGACAGCAGAGTCAGTGTTGGGTGAAATTAGCCCCACTTACCATGAAGAAGGCTCCTCTGTGATAGTACTTCTGCAGGAATTTGTACTTTCCTTTGCTGGCCTTATTGGTAATGGCTTTGCTGTTTGCTCTAAGTTCTGCTCGCCTCTCCTCTTCAGTCAGATTATGCATCCGGTCGATCTCAGCTTTCTCCTTCTCCATGCTGCAA